TCATTTTGCTTCCGAGAAACATGCAAAACGGGACGGAAAGCATGAAATTTTGCAATAATCTTACGCCACCCTTGCACAAAACGACGATAATTTTTTTAATTTCATAGACAACAGAAGACTGTATTTTTTCTACATACCCCCCCCCCCTGATTTTAAAGCTGGATCCGCCCCTGATCGCATGAACTGAATATCACAACGAAAATTGCCACTGCCGCAATTTTACTCAAGAAAACAACGGAAATCTGTTAAAAACACATATACAGGGTGTCTCATTTTGCCAACAGAGGACACCAGATAGACAAATATGTTTCTGTGATAAAAATGAGGAGTTGCAATTGAAAAACATTTGTTTTTCTATGATTTGCAAGCCATAACTCCAGAACTGTTGAAGATATTTCAAAAACGAAAAATGCCCTGGGTGTGCACGGGTATTCACTAGAGTTCAGCTCGCTTAAAAAAATGGACATTACCAACGGTTTGAGAGGTAATGAACCCTGAATGTTGGCAACTGTTTCACTGTTCCATTTGCGCGTACCTCCACTCTTTTGCCCGTAACTTCGTTAAGTGTCACGATAATGCAAAAATTCCAAAACCCCCAAAAAGCCCAAGGAAGTAGCTATAACAACTATTCCAGCATCATATTGGACAGTGGCAACACCAAGGGAGTAAAACGAGTTCGAACTCAGAGAGTGTGCAACCTTTTGGACCGTCTTTCTTCATGTGTTCAATCAAACAATCGGTTAAAATTAAGCTCAAAATCCGTCAATAATTGACCGCCTTTGCTCCAGAGGTGGTATCGCACGCCTACAACCGAAAATATCATCAGTTTCTAGCTCATTTTCAGATTGTTCTGCCTTAAAAATATTAAACCCCGTGCCGCCGCTGATTCTTCAAATGAAGTTCTTGAAATGGCAATGAAATGATGTCGGCTCGCTCTCAACATCGGCTCTTTAATAATAATGACCGTCTGTCCGATTTTCTGCAAGGTTAAGCTTGTTAAAATCCGATATGTCCCCTTAGAACGGAAAATATTTCCGCTAAGCAAATCCCATACTGTTGTCTGGAATTTCATCTTCAAAGGTCTGGATCACACGGCTAGTATGTTCTGTAATTGGCTATTTCCTTGAGCCACATATTTCTTCTCCAGCCGTAAGGAAATAAAATGGTAAAATCCCTGATTTTTGTGGTGCACAAAGTTAAAGCCCATTGATATTGTTTCGCTGGTAATGCGAAAAGAAACAGCTCGAGAAAGTTCGTCTTCTCGATATGCTCCCGCCTGCCCAACTAATACATTATTCATAATATTCGGAGAGGTTCGGAAAGTCGCAAAATCGAGTTTCTAAAAAAATCATCCATGAAATACGGCTCTAAGTTTTAAAACTAGTCGGGAAAGTTCTCATGGCCGCCGAAAAATCCCGATAACGTTTCCCCAGTTATTTATGACGAACGGTGATGACGGAATAGCAAGCAAAACGATTTTCGAATTGAGCCTGTAAATTGAAAGATTTATTCCGCAGATAGTCTTCAGTTTGAAGTCGGGCAAATGGGAAATCGTCTTCATCAATACTCGATTGGAAATTGCAAGAAAAGCGCACTTGCTTTTATGTAATTACGGATCGTCGAATTGTGATTTTATTGCTTGGAATATGAATTCGGGCTTAGCGATTTTTGTCGAATAAGCAGAAACATCTGCAAAGGTTTTTTTCGCTAGAAAATGTTAGATGCATTTAAAAATTTTAATACAAATTTGAAAAAGAAAATTTGAGGTTGTGCTTCAATCGGTCTTTTTTTGTTTAATAATTGTCATAAAAAAATTAAGGAGTTTAACTGTATAAAAACTCAAAAACGGTGGCAGATACATAACAAATACAAGACGCAAACAAGTTTTTAAATTGAACCAGGAATTTGAAACAAAATATCTGGTCAAACTTTGACTCAACTCAACAGCAAAATATTGAACATAGAGCATAATACATGAACTATTCTTTAAATTTTAAGCAAATATCTGAATAACTCTAGAGCTGCTTTAAAGGGAAAAGAAAAAAAAATTAAAAATTTCCAACTTTGACACCCTGTAAAGGTCCTTCCTTGTTTTTGGACGTAAAAGACGTCCCTAGAATGAATGCAGTGAATATCGAATCACTCATGTAACACTTTGAGACGCTTTTTAGGTCGGAATCAAATGCTTCGAAATCAACATCTTCTTTTGCGCCAAACCGGGAAACACTAAACCACTGCTCACAATTCCAGATATGATAATCTTCAATCTATTAAAGATATACGATGTCATAAATATTCCGGTAAAGTTCAAGAGACCGCTATTTGCAAGCTGAAATATGCAAGTTGCAATTCCGGGTGCAGCAAATGCCAGCAAACTGGTCCATCGCAGTTTTGTTAAACCAGTTTCTATTTAACTGAATCGGAAAACAGACGCTTGCAATTACAACTCGACACAAAACATTAACTGAAAAGTTGTTCCCTTATCTAATAATAAAAGCAAACGCCAACTTATGCCCAACTTGCTATGAAACATTAATAAACGCGAGCGAAATTAATTTTAAACTGGAGAGTTGGGGAGCGTTTTTTTTTATTTTCGAAGGAGAAACTTTGTGACTGCAATTTGCACATTTCGAAATTTAGATTCGGTTTATAGAGCCTGTCTAGAAAGTTTAATGCAGTCAGACAGGGCAGCTGAGTGTGCATTTCTTTGAAAGGTTTTTACCGTTCGATAAAAGGCCTATCGGTAGCTGCGAAGTACTTCACTCCATGTAGAGTCGAATTGGCAAAAAACTCTCTGGTTTGGACGCCCCAGCTTGTTTTCAAATATCCATAACTCCGGCTAATATTCTTGAGAAATGCGCGCCATTTGTTTGGTTTTTTCAGCCGGGGCTTCAGATGCAGTTTTCCGTCCATGCTGCAACATAAATGGAGATTTTAGCCACCCAAGCCCAAAAAAACCCGCGTTTCAACAAAATCCACAGTTTCTACAAATAGACAGGCACAAATTCACTTTACGTCCTCCCCAATTCCCAATCGCTCGCTTCAAAATCAGCTCCCCTTTTCTCGCTATTATTTAATTAGTGTATCGTCGATTTTAATACAAACATCTGTTATATTTGGGAGGTGTAGAATAATACGATAATAGAAGCGGAACGTCTCCTATTAACTCGAGCCTGTTATCCAGAAATATCAAATTAGTAACACACAATGGGTGAGCAATCGCACTTTGCGCCCGCCAAAATTATCTTTTGTTATTCTCCAT